CTCAAGGCCCGTCTTCAGCCACACAGCGCCTAGTATTTTAGACAGAGAGCCACTGTTGACAAAGATGAGGGAGACGGAAATGGGCATTTCTGGCTAATTGACCGTCGTCAGCCAGTCATACCCACACCCAAGTTGTGCACCGCCCGAGGCCCGATCTCGCGACATTGTTATCATAGTCTAACGCTCTAACCATTGAGCCACGGGATTGTCGTCATGCCATTTTATATCAGTGGCTAGTATTATAGACGGATGATTAGATCGTTTGACTTTTAATCACAATGTCGCTGGTTTGAGCCTCAGTTGATGCACCACTTGGGGTTGGTTATGCCTGTTTGATGACAGCCAATGAGCTAGAAATGGCCATACTAGTCTATCGGCAGTGTTCATCTGCTCGTACTTGTATTGACTGTGCGTCGGTCAGTCGAACTTCGTTGCCGAATCTATGCGGTGCACTTACACAGGCCAGATAGACCGTAAAGACACCTCGTGCTGGCACATAAACACACTTGGCGGTCAGCGCATACCATCAACTGTTATTAAACCAAACTGAGGCTGACGGCGTGCACACTGCAGCTTCGAATTAGCACGTCAGCCAGCCACACCAATTAAATTCGAAAAGTAGTTGAGAGCACTTGTGGCTATGTCCTTTCCCTTTCGCTAACTTTAGCTGGTGGTTGTATAAAACTTCCTGTCTGTAGCTAGGTTCGAGGGATATTCAGGTAAACTACATGTACATGAGGTTCGAAACGACGGCTTAAAGAAAATTATCCGGTTGGATAAACGAATTTACCGAAACTAATTGCCATGTTGAAAATGTAACTTCTCATCAGGTGCTAAAGGTGTCAGTGAACGCACAAGCGGCAAAAGAACATTTTCGAAATTCGAGAGAGTAGGGGTGTCTTGTATGGACGCCTAAATAGTACACGGAAACAGAAACTGCCCATAGTACACGTGTTTTTAGGCTAATTTCCGGGGTAATTAAGTCTTAATTTATGTTGGGGTTATGGTTAAGGTTTGAGTTAACTTTGACCGTAGTTTTGAGGTTTAGGGTAGAGCTTGCGTTGATTAAGGTTAAAGCTTAGTTTATGTTAGTTTTTTGTTGGAATATAAACGCGAAAATATTTATCTATACTGAATTGTGTCGCTAGGTCACCTATTTTGAGGAGGCGGGACATTATTATTCCCATGTCCTGGTTATGCAACCATAAAAGTCACTTTACCGCCCTAGAGCCCAGGACTGGCAATATAATCTGCATATGACACATTGATTGCGTCGTAGCAGTACCGCGAAGACAAACTTGTTTAGTTGCATGCCCATCTGCCTATTGCTGAGTGGTACTGACCATAGTTCAATATTAAACAAACAATTTTTATATAATTGTAATGTCTAGGACACTCCGGGTAGCCTTAAGGCCCTCATAAACTTGGAACGGCCATAATTTCGCCCCTCCACTAAAGTTTATGGAAAGCACAAAATTCCACTGCTGATTCATTCACCATGAAAAGTAAGGCACATCCGACAGTACTGCCTGGAAAATTTCCTTACTGAGGGGACTGATGGGATCGGCAAAAAGTAGACGTTGAGATGCCATGTTTTCCAAACGATTTTCAATACTTTATGGGTGCAACAGGTAGCTCTGCAGGAACATGAAGAAAAATCAGAAATTTCGAAGGAGCATGGAAAACAAACAGTTTGGAATCCTTGACACAGTGTAGATAAGTACATTTTGTTTTAAAAATATCCGCAGTCCGAATATTTTAGCGAATGCACGATCGCAGACTGTTCAAAAGGAGGGAAAATAGTTCATTACTCGATATTTTTGACTGGTTTTCGAGTTCATGCTTAAGGATGCGCGAAAAGCAAGAAGGCCGTAAACTTGATTGGCTTAAACTAATCAATCACCTCTGTCCTACAGAAAGCAACAAAACGCTTCTAGCTCTTGAGCAGACGTTGCTCCTGAGACATAGACTTTCTTATGAATTCTAGATATTCACATCTTCCGGAAGCTGCTATTTAAGAGGCCCTAATAGATGACATTTACTCCCTTCATTTTTGAAAAAAGACGTCCTTTTGTATATTTCAACATCCATGCATTACCAACAGAGATTTGTAGGCAAAAGTTTAGGTGGGAAAAGACGTCAAGAGAAATTGAAAAAAGATCATCTGGGGAACACACATCCCAGTCACTTTCTAATGAGCAAAATATGCCACTTGACTGAACATATTTTCAGAACGTGCCCAAACCATACTTCGAAAAAACGCATTTTCCGCATATATTGGTTCCATCGATCCTTGCTGGACATAAAAGGCGATCATATTTCATAAAGATGCAAAACATCAGTTTCATATAGTAATATTATAAAGAAGTAATTCCTCTGCTTCAGATTCTGTCTGAAAGAAGTATATGGTCGAAGTCTACTTTGAATTGACTATTTTGAAATTATAAATATTTTGAGAATTTTGCATGCCTAAAGGTACCACCTACTATCATTTCGTTTATTAATTCTATGCAATATTATTATTACAGGCGGCTGGTATAGACTAATAAAGACATTATGCAGGCATGCTTGCCAATGGGGTGTCGAAACAGTATTTAAATAATAAAGAAGTTCGGTTATATGTTAGTACTACGTTTCTTGATTGCATATTTCACAATTCCGTCCGATCAATCTCTAGAGTTGGGCAGTAAAATCATTAAATTTGGCCATCATTGCATATGTTTAGACACTTGGTGAATTCCAGTGGACAACCAGGCACCAATTTGATGTTTTTTTCTTGCTGAAATGGGATTGACATAGATTTCCAATTGCAAACCAACTGCTTAAGGTGAAAGAACGGAGTCAACACTGTGTTACACGCCTGTCAGAATTGACAGTTTTTTCTGCTAAGCTGAGGTCTGAATTAGAGTCTAGAACAAATAATTTCATCTTCGTCCACAAACAGGTGCATGCTTTAAACTTGCACAAGCGTCTGTGGAAAAGCGCTCGAAAACATTGAACAAAATAACTGTTGAAAGACTAATGCCTAAACGCCTCCCATACTGGGGATGTTAACGTTGCCTTTATAAAAGGTATGTTAAAAGGACTGCTCGTTAACTGAGTTCTGGAATACTGGTCTCCTGCTATATTATTTGTACAAGTCTTAGCTTTTTGCAAAAATACACTTTCTCAACAAAAAACAATCAGCTGCTTTAGCCTATGCGTGATGACCGTAGAGCAAGTGATCGTAGACAGCTAAACAAGTGAGATTGTCGGAAATTTATGCGGCAGCTTCTGCGACTTCTATGGATTAGGACATTAGGTCTGGAATTTGCATTCTCAAAACGGTATTGAGCGCACCTGGAATGGAACCTCTTCACCCCAATCGTGGATCGTAATCCAGTGTTTGTGTCCTCTGACATGATCATTCCCCTTAATGATTTCAGAAAGTCTCCCTAGGGCACGGATACTTCCTCGTTGTCTTCCTCATTGTCATATCACTGAAATGACCTTGATCGTTCTTAACGTCCTGAAGCTGCCACTTCAAAGCCCGGACCCTTTTGATAGATCGCTCCTGAATTCAAGACGCTCAGTTCTAACGGTTAAATAGAAATATCAGGACGAATCGCAAACCCTACTCCGAGCAATCTAGGTATGCCTGCGTTAGTATGATATCAACAGAAAGATGCATATTTGTCTTGATAAGGTACATTCTTCTGAGACTTTCATACTCACCTGGATCATGAACCTTGACCAGAACGAAGTCCTTTATGAGGGCTTCTCGTCCTCTCTCCATATGGCGCTGCAGGATCCGGCGAGCGCCCATTTTAACTTGCTTCAAGTCATCGCCCATGGATCCAGTGGAGTCAAACACAATAGCCAGTGACACAGCGGATGGCATAGCGGCCGTTTGCGTCCCCGACGTGTCCACCTCAATTATCTGCATTGGTGGAGGATTTGGATTCATGTAGCCCGGTATAACTCGCCGTGAGACATCCTCGTAGCCCCTTGGGTTATACTGCTGCACTGTCAGGGGAGACAGGAAAAGGACCAGGAGAAGGGACAGAAGCGTGCCCAGAACCCGCCCATCGTACAGTTTCGAAGACGACCTCATTTCCTTAGTTGAGGTCGGCTAGGCGCGCGCTGGAACAGCAGGCAAATTCGGGGATGTAGGGTGCTAGTAACCGGGGGAATAACTGGCCTTTTCCAGCGTTCAAGTTAGCTTTTAAGAGGCCCGAACAGCGACCAACAGCACGGCCATGATTCCTGTTGAAATTGTCCGACGGCCATTGGTCAGCGGCCGCTAGTCCTGCCAGGCTCGGCAGCTGAACCAATGAACGCGTCAACAGCAAGGTGCCAGCTTCGGTTTGCATGTACGAGTTAAGAGTATCGTTAGGCGTGCTTTGAATAAACACCCGCAGTCGGTAATTTTCTTCTATAGATTTTACTTAGGCTTTTAAATCTAAATACGCACGAGTTTATAAGCCAGTCTAGACACCTTTACAGGCATTCAAATTCCAAAATGAATTCCTATGGAAATTAAGTGGCACCATCTTGTTTGGCTTTGGCAGAAGGGCTAATAGTCCATTTTAAAGGGTCCGTGCAAGTCTCTGACTGCCAGTTGAGGTCTCTTTTCTCGTTTCTGACAGAATGAATTCGCCACTTTCCGCAATTTTTTTCTATTAACGTCTTGAAATCTCTTTACCAGGTTG